GTTGTGTTCCTTCTCTTCATTTGGGACGGTGGTATAAAAATGCCGCCTGTGGTCCATGAGGGCTGCGGAGGGGGTGTTTCATGTTCTTCCGGCGACCCATTGAGTAGGAGGGGGATGGTGAGGAGGCGGGGTCGGAGGGGTTGCTGGTGGGGGGGTTGGAGGAGTTGTGGTTGTTGGATGACGGGTCGGCGTTGTGATGGGAGGGGGATGGTGTCTCTGCGTCGTGATGGCGGGAGGATGATGGCTCTGCGCCACGCCTGCTGGACGGCCTGGAATGGTGGCCGTCGACAGGGTGCGCAAGCCGGCGGATGAAGAACTCTCCCGAACACGCAATGTAGGTGGCCACGTCCGAGTGCATGGTGTGCTTGCTCAGCATGTCGATGCCAAACTCCTTGCCCGTCTCGGTGAAGCGCAGCATGCCGTCCAGCGTAAGAACGTAGGTAAAGATGCGGCCGCCCTCGTCGAAGTGGGCCATCCGCAGGAACTGGAGGGATGCCTCGTCGCTGCAGGGCGGGAACGAGCCGTACTCGGTGCTCGAGTCGAAGTTGTAGATGCGCTCGTGCTGCTTGTGGAGCACCTTGTTCAGGATGCGCCCGCGCAAACCGGTCGACGAGAACATGCGGCCGATCATGGGCCGGAACTCGACGTAGCGGTGGTAGAGCTTGGGCGGGACGGGACCCGAGAGCTGGATCTCGTTGGCTTGGAAGCTGGGCCATCGTTAGCATAGGCATAAGGGAAAGGACGGAAAAAAGACGTACTCGTATTTCTTGGTCCGCCGCTGGTCGCTCTCGTCCTCGCCCTCGTCCGACGCCGCGTCCTCTTCCTCGTTCCGATTCACCCTAACGCCCGCCAGCCGGCCGATCATAGGGCTATAATGCTTCACCCAGGTGGTCGGCCCGACGGTGTACATCTGGGCGTGGGGCGGGTCTGACTTGCCCAGCACCTGCATGCTGACGTGCAGGCGCGGGGTCACGCCGTGGTCCCGACACACGGCCGCGGTCACGCCATGGTAGAAGTAAGCACGCTTGCTGCCGGCGCGCTTCTTGACCTCGTACACGCGGCCGTTTGGGCCGAGGCCCTCCCAATTCTCGTCGACGTGGGGAACCCGGATGGTCACGTTGCCGAGGCGGTCATCGTGGTCCGGCCAGTCCTCGTCGTAGAGGCGGCACTTGAGCACGAAGCCCGACGCGGGCACGTTGGCCACGACCCAATCCTCGTCCCAGACCGGCTCGGTGCTGCGCCGGATGGTCTTGGTGCGGCGGGTGAGGAGTGGGTCTTCCTTGTGGCGCCTGGGGACAGCCGCCGTCAGGGTGGCGTGGATGAAGGGGTCCGACGACCTCAGGTGGAGGTCGGCCACGGGCAGGTTGTAGGCGCGGTGGAAGGTGATCTTGACCGTGTATCCTTGAGGGGCGTCGGGCAGCGGAGTCGCGTCGAAGCCACCGGGGGGTTTGGACATCTTCTTGAGCTGCTCCTTCCTGTCGGCGAGCTTCCCTTTCTGGTTCTTGAGCTTCTCACGGAGCTCACTGGTTGACACAGGGCGGAGCTGCTTGCTGTCGCGGCGGGGCGCATCCTTACTCTTTTCGGCTTCACCATCGCGATTGGATTGGGGAGGAGCGGCACCGTTTACGGGAGCAGGGTCTAAGTCATTGGTGTTCGCTCCGGCCAGGCCTTCGTGAGACATTTCGGAGAGGAATTCGAGGAGATGCCTCAGATTTGTGAGGTCCTAGGAGTGCGCGCCGAAGAGATGAGGCAAAGGAAAAATAAATAACGTGGGGTCTCGGTCTCGGGTGGTGGGAGCTCGGGGATAGAGAACGCGCGATTGATGCCAAGATTAGGGACTCGACCTCGGCGGGTCTACCGTCGGGTGCAGTGGACCACCGTCGGCACAGCTGTGCCGGAGAAGGAGGTATGTACGAAGTACCTAGGTGAATAACAAACAAATAACTGGACGAAGCAAGGAGTTCCCAGTTCTGCGCAGGAACCGCGCAATTGATCGACCCGAAAGCGCTCAACCAGTGTTTTGATGGGGAGGGAATTGCGCTGTCAGACGAGAACTTCAGCCGCAATTGGGTGCCGCTTCCCGCGTGTTGGTTGCTGGCCACAGGCAATACCACGGACATACGAAGATGGAACCAGGGACTCAATTCCGTCTTCTCTGCGCCGTGTCGCATCGGCGGCTTGCGGCATCCGAAGTGACGTCACATTCGGATTTGGCTCCGGTCTTGGCATCAACCACGTTCTGTTGTTGTTTTATTGATGACTGGAAAAGAGGTGATGCTGACCCCAGAGTTTTGAAGTTAGAGAAAAAAAGCAGGGCGGATAAGGCCGATACACATATTCCAAGGTGCCTTCCGGCAGTATACTTGGATAGGTAGGTAATTAAACTGAGTGCCTGATGCCTGTTTTTTATGGCACAACGCACTTGATACCTCCGTAGTGAAGAACGAGCCACAGATTTTACTTCTTATTTCTCGCTTCATTCCTCAGCTAACATGAATCTGTAACATTTAACTCTTTGATACCGACTAGATACATGTCCTTCCCGAGCGCTTAAGCTCAAGCGACGCCTCTTCCGACTAGCACGCGGACAACCAGGACACCCAATGTGACCCCGAAATTCGAGTTGACCTCTTTGACCTCCTTATGAAGCCCAGGGTTCCGGTGTCAAGCAACAATCACATCCTCCACATGACTTCGCTCGAGTTAGCTAGGTCCCCGACACCGGGTTTGTGACGGCTTCCAAGAACTTACACAATTGCATGGCCCTTGCCCCGGACAATTGTTTGCGCAAAGAATAAGGCAACTAAATACTATTTGCTCGCACACAGCGCACGCGGTCTTGTTTAGGCAACGCGGTGCTATCGGGCCACCCTCACGAGGTGCGATGACCGCCGAGTCCACGTCCGGGGTGGGAAGAGCGAGCACCCCGGCCGCGAGGGAGAGGGCAAGAAAGAGATTGTTGTAAAGCATGGTTGATTTAGGGCTTGGGAGGTCTTGGGAAATCCTTAAACTCGCCTGAAACGAAGAACACAAACGGGCCTAAGACGTCAGGTTTTATACACGTTGGTGGTTCAGGCTCCCCCTACGAAAGACGGGCTCGACACAAAGACCTTACAGACACTAGTTGTACGTACACACGGCCCTGCCGTCCATTATTCGCGCTTCGAGGTCAGTCAGCAATATTCCAAGGCCGCCAAGCCCAGCGAAAGGGCGTCAGGGCGTGAAGCTGGCAAGTAGGGTCCGCGAGTGTTGCTAACTTACGAGCGGGGGTGGCGCGGAAGTGCGGGCAGCCGATGGGCAAGTATAGGTAATGGGAGGTTTGATCGAGCTTGAGAAGCTTCGGGGTCAACTGCGAAGGCTTTTGGCCTACAGGTTTGTCTGCGGAGGCTTTGGCGTACAGGTTTGTTGCTTGAGTCAAGTACCAATGATGGGTTGGGAGCGGGGGAAAAGTAAAAGGAACGGAAAGCCTGGACAATAAGGATGATAGAGTTCAGTGTAGTTTAGGTTGACTGTAGTTCCGAGTTGCTTGCTGGTAATTAGATGGCACAGCAATTTGCCTCTTCTTTGCCAATGGGCTTTAACTTGGGTAGTGGTATGGTTCACGGTTTATGGACGAGGCGGGATGGACGGCCGTGGCCGCCTCCTCCACAACCCCGACCGGCCGGGGTGGGGACTGGCTGCAAGGCGCCGTCTCCGGGGTGGGGCCCGGCTGTTGTCCGTGGTGCGACGGGGACTGCGAGGGGGGGACCCGAACGGGTATCATAACCGATACCTCGCCCTATGGGGTTCGCCAGTGAAATCCTGATATCGGTCCATTTAACTTGGAGACTCCAACCTCCGGCAGAATGAAATTATGGGATCATGAGAACTTGGGGATTTTAGAACAGGTTTCACGCGAAGTAGACTTCACATCAGAGCAAAACAGCTGGCTTACCTGCCCGTCTCAACATGTACTCTGATACCAATCTCCATTCTCTGCCAACGCCTCATTAACCACACTTCCCCCCCAAATCACCACTAGCCCATATCCCTAACTACTACGTACAGCACAATACCCGGCTACCCTTCC